AGATGCTGCGGGGAAAATAAAATAGCTGGATGATGGCTATCTGGTTATTTGGCTCCCTGGGCCATCAGCCATTTTTAGCTGCGGGCCTTTTCCATCAGGGAAGCAGAAATAACATGGCTGTAAACCGCCTCTCCATCCATAACTCCCGGCAGTAGCCCAGCTTGTTTAAAGAGATACCTGGGTGGCTGTTGGCTTTCAGCCTCCAGGGAAATTGCTCACCCTGATGTGCCAGCCTGCTGTGTTCAGAGGAGCGCCTGGCGCAAATGCATGTGTCCAACCCCCTCCCCCACTCCACCCCCCTTCTTGAAGGCAGGGCAAGGTGGGCCTGACCACTTGGATTCTCATCTTCACCACACCTCTCTTGTCCTGAAGGGAGAGGAGATGTTTCAGAGACACGTTTTGTTTTTTGCCTCTCCTCTGCCCTTGACTTCATGGTAGGTCCCTCTTATCGTCTCACCCTAAACTACCCTTTCGAAACACACCCCTCAGTGCTGTGATTCACCCATGGTGGACCTCTGGACCTTCTAGCTTCCTTGCTTAGAGCATCCGTCTGTAACACGCCTCACTGACACCCCCCACCCCCAGTAACTACATCCCCAAATCCGATGTGTTTTCCAATTCTTAGTTGAGAAACTTTCTTCTCTGTGGGAGAATTTCAAATCAGTACTCTGGTTTTATTTGTACTACGTTCAGGTTGGATTCAGAAGAGGATGTGGAATGAGGATAATTGGTCGTGTCAAAGTGGTTTTAGTAGGAAGCAGAGAATAACAGAAAGATGCTCACCTGTGTTTTGTTGACTGCACAGAGGCATCTACCTGTGGTTCATAACACACCGCTGGTTGCATTTCGAGGAATGGCAATTCTAGAACACCTAGACATGCTCATGTGGAATCTGCCCACGGATCCAGAGGCAGTCATGCAAATGGAACCAGAGGGTACATGTGGTGTAAAATCAGGAAAGATGTGCCTGGGTTGTCTCTCTTCGTCCGACGTGCCCCGTCTGTGTGCTGAGCACCTTGCCCGAGGAGCTAGACTATGTGAAAAAGAACCATGGTACCTGGGCTGGAGGAAGGCTCATCACTGACCAGATGACACAGCTTTGCTTGGTGGAAGTAAAGAGAGTTTTCTGACCCAGAGCAAAGACTGCAGCCTTCATTATGGATTATAGCTGAACATAAAGCAAAACGACTCACAACTGGACTAGTAAGAAACAGCATCATAGGTAGAAGTTGGACGTCATCAAGAGTTTTCACTGTGCATGGATCGACAATCAATGCCCACGGAAGCAGCAGTCAAGCCACGAAGCACTGCCCTGCACTGGACAGACCTGCTGCCGAAGGCCTCTTTAGAGCCTCACAGAGCAAAGCTCCCATTGTCTCCTCGTGCCTGTGAGAGTTGGATGGGGGAGAGAAGAACTGATGCTTGTAAATCACGGGGTTGGTGAAGACTGTGGAAAGCCTGTGGACTGACAGAAGAAGAAACAGACCTGCTTGGGAAGCAATGCAGCCAGGACGCGCCTTAGAAGCAAGGATGGTGCCACTTCATCTCACGGGTTTTGGACACGTTCTCAAGAGAGACCAGTCCCAGAGGAGCTCACGGGTGGCTAAGTGGAAAAAGAGGAAGCCCCTCAGCAAGGGGCTGTCCCACAGGGATGACCGTGAGTCTGGAGCAGGTCCGTGCAGGGTCTGGTTCTGTGGCCCATAGCGTCACCAGCTGTTGAAACCCACCGTCCAGCTCCTGAAAGCCGTGTGTTGTCCGGGAGCCCCGGTGGCACAGCAGTCAAGTGCGCGGCCGCCAGCTGCCAGGTTGGCCGTTTGAACTCCCCAGACGCTCCGTGGGAGGAAGCTGCCACAGTCTGCTTCTCTTGGGAACCCCCTCTGCCCTGCCCTGAAGGGCGCTTTGAGTGCAACTGAGTTTATGGCCACGCCTCTGCTTGTGTGAATGCGTTGCTCTTACCTGTTGACGGTAGCTACCACCTTGTCAGTCACCACCAACTTGTGGCGATCGCCCAGCACAAGGAAGCGCAGTGCCGCTTCAGCCCAGGGCTGATTGGCGAGTGGATCTTGGTGATCGTGGAGTTTTTATGGGCTGTGTTTTAGAAGTAGATCTCCAGGCTTTTTTTCCTACTTCCCTTAAGTCTGATCGCTCCCTGAAACAGGCTCAGCATCATAGCGACATACAGGCTTCCAGTGGGCTGCCCAATCCAGTCAACCACCATCAGTGCCTTTTATACCCTGGAGGGTTTCTTCCATGTACTGATTTATTTACTACACATAAATTGACCTATTGTGTGCCAAACACGGCACCAGATCCTGGGAATTACCCAAGAACAAAGAGGACACACTCCTACAGGTGTGGATGGGTGTGTGCGGTTGTGTGCAGGGAGGAAAATAGAATAACACCGCCCTGTTTTGACCTTCACTAAGTGAACAGTTGCTTCCGCATGGTGCAGATAATGACTGAGCTAGTCCCACAGCAGCCTGAAGGTATAAAAGTCTCCACTCACTCACTGCCAGTAAGTCAATGCCAGCCCATCGTGACCCTCTAGGACAGGGTAGAACTACCCCACAGATTTCCGAGTCTGGAACTCTTCACAGAAGTAGAATACCCAGTCTTTCTCCTGTGGACTGGCTGCTGGTTTTGAACTACTGACTTTGCAGTTAGCAGCCCAGCGCTTAACCATGGTGCTACCAGGGCACTATTATCATCCTCATTTTACAGATACAGAGACGGAGGTCGAGGGCAAGTCAGGTCCCTTCTCCGAGGTCACAGGCTGGTCTTGGTACTCGGTCCCGGAGTCCAGGGCTCTCCTCTGCCCTCCGCTGGCTTTCCCCCCTTGCAGGTGGTGAAGGCACAGGGTCGAGAGAGTGAGTGGGGCTGGAGGACGGGCAGAGAGCAGCAGGCTGCCCTCGCCCGCAGAGGATCAAATCGGAGATCTGACACCTTCGAGGGCCTCCGAGAGCTCAGAGCGGGTCTGCGGAGACAAGGACATGACTTGCCTTTTCGTATCTGGTGATGTAGTGCTATTTGCTGGACTGCTAATTGCAAGGTTATGGGTTCGAAACCCTCAGCAGCTCTGTGGGAGAGAGATGAGGCTTTCTGCTCCAGTAGAGTTACACTCTTGGACCCCCCCATAGGGTCCGTTCTCCTGTGTCCTGTGGGGTCGCCGTGGGTCGGAAATGCGTTGACGGCAGTGAGTGAGTGGGTTGAGCATGGCAGCCCTGTGCATAATGGAAGGAGACAGTGCCCAGGCCCACACCATCCTCACAACCCGTGCTCTCGGCGTGCACTGCCTGCTGCTGTGGGGGGCCCTCTCCCAGAGGCCCTCTGCCTGACCGTCCACACGGCCCTTGTCTCGGTGCCGCATTCAGAGTGAGTGAGTGGGAGTCTCGCCATCTTTGCTTCTAAGGAACCTTCTGGTTGTATGTCTTCATGTAATGATAGCATTGTATTAAAGAGGCATACCGTAATTATTTCTGTCTCCTCTTAGACATGCCTAGACTGACTTATAATTACAGACAATAGGCACCGTGTACTTGGAAATCACCTTTCCATGTCATTTCTTTTTAATCTGCCCAGATCAGTTTAATTGAGTATCCTGAGGTTATCATTTGAGCTGTTGAAAACCTCCCGGAGAAAGGGGAAGGACAAGGGACATTTTGAGCTGTGAGGCGGGGCCCTGAGTGTAGACGGAGGCTCTAGCCAGGAGGAGGTGTGTGTGTACTGTGGCAGGGCGGGGGGAGGCTTGGGTCCCTGGAAGCATAGAGGAAAATAGACAGGGACCAGCAGCTGTCGATTTTTTCAGGTAAGGGAG